TTCTCAAACTAGCCCAATAGTTCCCATAATCCACAATCATTCGCAGGGTTTCAAAAGCATAGGCTTTTCTCTCTTTCGAATTCTAAAAATCATGTGGAATGACCCCTCAAGGCCCCACACACCTCTTATATATCATAATTTAATGTTCTAAGTATAAAAAGTGCCCAAACAAATAATATATCGACCCATATATCCTAGCTTAAACTTAAAACTCGTAATGACAATTTTACCCCCATAAACAATACTCATGAACAACACTCACGAACGGTATTTGTAAAAAGTACTCATGAAATAAATAAAAAATACAAAAACCATAAAATTCTTAAAAAAACTAAAAACCCCTAAAAATAAACCCTAAAATTAATACTATAATATACATCTTTTGAAGTTGAATAAAAAATAAAAAAATACGAATAATTTGCCCTACATTAGAGAGAGATGAGGGCTTGAGAGAGATTGGGTGTAAAGAATGAGAGAGAGAGAGAGAGAAAGAGAGAGAGAGAGAGAGAGAGAGAGAGAGATGAGGTTGTGAGAGATAGTTTAAAAGAGGAAAACAGAAAACGATAGGAAGGGGTTAAGGTTTTTTGTTTCGGGCAATTATAAGGGCATGATCTTAAAAAAATGTCGGAAGTTTAGCTTAGGGGATGGGAAGAAACATTAAGGGAAGTTTCTATGCCATTGGATATTTAAGAAATAGGAGGGGATGTAGGGTAATTAGCCCCAAATTTAGGTGCAATGGAGATATTTTTCCTATATTTAATTATGTTTTATTTGAATTATGAAATGTTAAAATGAATTTTTAAGATTCTCTGTATTTTATATTTTGTCAAAAAGATTCTTTACTAAGCATAAAGTTAGATTTTTTTCAAGTTTTGTAAATACAAATCAATTTTAAAAGCACCCTTTGTATTTTAAAAATTTGTTGAGGGTTTTATAAAATTGGAAGGAAGACTAAATATATGAAAGATATTTGATCGACATATGTTTAGAGAGAGAAAGGGTTGATTTTGGATTTTTTCTGTAGCTTGGTCCATAACTTGAGATTTTAGGAAAGATATACTATATTTTCTTAAAATCAGATATTTAGAGAGAATAGGTCAAGGAAATTGAGGGATAAGGGTTCGAAAACCTTCCCTTTAATCATGATGCCTTAATTAGGAATAGACAGCTGAGATTAGAAATTTTTCTGCACCCCATAGATCACCTTGTATCGACTGTCAGGATTTAATCTCTTTACGATGGCAAAGCCTAGCCCCAAAAATCCTAATTTAGATCTATAAATGCTCATTGGGGTGGCCTCTACTCTACACACTAGACCTCTCTCTTATCTCTAGCCTCCACACCACTCTCTCTCTACTCTCCCTCTCTGTTTTCTCTAACACCTAGCCTTACAAGTGCCACGCCCCAAGTTAGACACAAAGGGCTGGTGCGCCCAAGCAATCCAGCCTAGATATGAATGTTGCCCAATCCCATTTGAGTAGAGGTTTTGATTTAGAACTTGGTTATATTCTCAAAGATTTAGAACTTGGTCATATTCTCTTCCAAACGTAATATAATCAGTTTCTGGATCCTCTTGGATCAGAAATGGCACCTCTCAATGATAAGTTCGTAACTCTCAAGTCTTACATGATCTCTCATGGATATTTTACATGTGATACTACTCCCAAGTCTTACATGATCTCTCATGCACGATTAGGGAGATATGAAACCCTACTGAAGAGTGCTCAGTCAGGAAATTGCAGAAAATCAAAGTAAGACATTACATGGCGTGCTAGTAAAGGTGTTTGGTGCCATTCTCCAATGGCAGGTGTATGATGGTGAGTTGTGGTGTGATCTTGTGCGCACAGATGCATACCACACCTTACTAAGCCAGCTGTGGCAGTATGACCATGAAACTGTTCACAGGAGCTAAAAGAACACATACTCCTTTGTAAATGATCGAGTAAAGATCACATTATTGCCTACGAAGGAACGAATCTGACAAGGTGGATGATGAGAGTAGAATGCCATTGATGCCAGCTTTTGAGTTGGGAAATCATGAAGCAGGCAACATGTACACCTTAATATCAATGAAAAGTGGGGAAAGGGCTGTGGTCCCAAAAGAGATAAAGGCCATTTTGAGAAGCTACAGAGATCTCATACCAGATCAGCTGTCCAGCGGGTTGCCACCAACATGCAGCATCCAACACAAGATTAAATTTTTGCTGGGATCTAGTCTTCCCAACTTGTCCTATCACATGTGCCCCAAAGAGCATGAAATAATAGCACCAACAAATAATGGAGTTGCTAAGGAAGGGCTTCGTTTGTGAAAGCATGAGCTTGTGAACGGCACCCACACTACCCATGCCAAAGAAGGATGTTATATGGAGGATGTGCATTGATAGCCAGGCCATAAACTGGATACCTGTCAATACTGGCTCCCAATAATCCAGCTTAGTAATATTTTGGACATGTTATCTAGCAAGTGCATTTTCTGCGAGATGGTTTGTAGATGCAAAAACCAGCACCAGATCCAAATCGAGCCTAGCTTTCAAAATCCAAGAAGGCTTGTATGAGCTGATGGTATGCCATTTGGTCTGTCAAATGCTCTTAGTAGCTTCACGAGGGTGATGAATCAATTTATTCGACTATTTATCGGTAAATTTTATTTGTTTCATTTGATGATATATTAATTAATACTTTTACTAGGTAGACTGGTATTGGCATTATCAGCTTTTTTCCAAGGTGTTCAAGGTTGAATGTGATGCCTTGCATATAAGGATCGGTACCAGCATCAACCAAGAATGAGACCAACAGCAATTTTCTGTGATAAGTTACCAAGGCAAGATCATGATACTCAACCTTTGATGTTGAATTTTATACAGTCGTTCAAGGTCCAAGGTTTTGGTGTCACTGCCTAATTAATGAGGATTTGTAAGCTATTCTGACCAAGAAGCTCTCAAATTTTTTAGTGCACAAAGGATATTGAACCACAAGCATGTTTGGGTTTGTGGGTTTTAAATGTCCGTACAACATGGTTTCTGACAAAAAATTCTTTACAATATCTCCATGTATGTGTCCTCTTATTTTTTATGTACTCTCAGTTTGAGTTGGTAGTATGGACTCCAAAGATGCAAAAAGCCACTTGAGCCTAATCTAGTATGGTTAGAACAGACATGAGTTGCCAACAGCCAACCTAGTGTGGTTGGTGACATGAGGGTGGATGAGTTCTACTTTGGTGCATAGAACAGAAGCTATTCTATTTAGGACACAGTGAGCTCATTCAGTCTTGCCATGGCGTGTGACAGGGTCTTGGCTTGGAGAGTAGACCCGCACTCCAAACTTGATAGGCCTAGTCCCTATGGTGCTCATTGGCAAAGAGGGTCCATGACTATCCTGTCCACATCAGCATAGCCCGAAGGTAGATGTTGGCCAGGAGGAAACTCCTAATGTTAGTGGCTTATGACTACAAGTGTCTAAAATCCTAGGCAATGGAATCCTAAATAGCATGCGCTGGTTGCATGGGATCTGCAAACCTAAGGAGTCTCAGATTTGGTGATCCTAGAGAGTATTCGATCTATGTGATTCTAGATTTTGGATTTGGCGATCCATTAGCATGCATGTTCTCGAGAGAGTCTATAGGCCCCTAAACTTTCCTTGGGGAGTGCGCTTGGAATTTGTGGCTATTTCTGGACAATGACACTTCAGCACGTTGGCCAGCTCTGAAAGACCAATCATGAACCTTTCACATGAGAGACATGTCCAGTCTGTTGGGTTGGTTTAGGGTTTGGATGAGGTCATAGGATAGTCATGGAGTACCTGCCACAGGCTCTAGTCTCAATAATGCTAGCATATTCTTCTAAGGTTCTTTAAGAGGCTTTTGAAAGTGTTCCTAAATTTGCTATTTAACCAATTTATTTTGTGTGGTTAATTTTTTCATTCAAATAAGGATGTATTTGGAATAAAATTTTGTTTCCAAAATGGGGCTTTCCTAGAATTATAAATTACTTTAAACAAGAACAAGATCAGAGAGCATTTTATCACACGTGAGGCCTAGATTTGGCACACGGTTTGTATTATTGATACAAAAGGTTTGACCATTTGACTACCATGGACCATGGGTGCCAAGCAACTGATCAAAGAGCCAAAAAAGTGGGCGTCGGGCCCACATAATCTTGTAAGTGGTGTATGGACCTCCAATTAGAGTTCAATTGAAGGGAATATTCTATAGGACAAGATATAAGACCAACCATGCTTTATCGAATGGAATGTTCAGTGGTCAAGAAACAACATATCCATAGAAAGAGTGTAGCAGAAATAAAGATGTTGAGATGGATGAATGGTAAAACAAAAAAAGGACAAAGTTCAGAATGAACACAACCGAGGGAACTTAGGGGTAGCTCCAATAGGCGAAAATATTAGGGAAAGTAAACCAAGGTGGTGAGGCCATGTGCGGCGTCGCCGTAGAGCAACACCGACTAGGAGGGTTGATTTGGTTCAAATGGAAGACTATAAAAGGGGAAATGGAAGGCCGGAAAGGACATGTATGGAAGTAGTGATAAGAGATATGGTGACTCATGATCTGACTGAGGGTATGGCCCTTGATAGGGCAGAGATGGTAGAACAAGATTCATGCAGCTGATCCCAAATAATTGGGATAAAGCTGAGACGATGAGGAAATGATTGCTAAATGTCAAGCGTGTATAACATTCCTGACATTCATATTAAGATCAGATTACATATGCATAAACTAATTCATGTCACCTTTGAACTTGCAAGCATAGACTAGTATAGAGTTCTTAGTGGATAGAGATAATAAATGTTTTGTACGAACTGATGAAGCAGCTTAATCAGAATTTACCCCAAAAAAAGCAGCACAAAGAGATAAATGTAATAAGAGGAAACTATCAGGATCAAACAATAAAAGCCACAACTGCCCTACAAAATATATAAGCATCCAAACCATTCAGAACAAAGAAAAATCACACCTTTGAACATATGTAGCATATTAATTTTCTCACCTTCACCCTTTTCATTTTGAGTAAAGCATCATATCGGAGTGATGGGAGAGAATATTTATCAGCATTATCCGAAGCAAACACAAATGCTGGATCAAGCAATTTGCTGCAAACAAGATAATAGTGAAAAACAACCTATGTAACTCAACTCTTTGATGTTCAAAGCATAAGTAACTGCAAAACAATATGGAAAGAACGCATGTAGGATACCTCGCAGCATGGCTCTTATAGTATGCAAAAATACTCTCACTTAGCTTGAAAACAAGTTGATCAAAACAAAGATCCACCTGTAAAGTGATTGAGAATGAAATACAACAAACAAAATATTGCCATTGCTTTGTTTCACAACTAAAAGCAAATAAAATTATTATGGTAGAGACATTGGTATCCCAAACACGAACCCAGTCCATGATGGTAAGACATAGTATCTTCATAATACTTCTTTCGAGAAAATATATCAGCTAAGATATTGTTCTTTCCAGAAATATATTTATATTCAAAATTCCATTGTGAAAACCAACTTGCCCATCTGAGTAACTATAGATTTGGAAGTATCTTGTTTTTTAATCTGAGCATATTCGGAAATGTTGAAAGATCCACTTCTACCACGAAAAAATGTCCTATCAGATGAAATTGGAATTTTTCAATTCGTCTTTTTACTGCAAGGATTTCTCTAAATGTAGAGTGGTAATGAAATTCAGATTCTTTGAATTTTCCGCTTTTATATCCACAAATCATTCGTTCTTTATCTTTTTCTTCAAGTAAGATGCATGCCCAAAATTCATCCGAAGCATCAGCTTGTAAAATCCTTTTTCATGTAGATGGGATTTTTAAAGAAGGAAGATTATGAGAAAGTCTTGTGAGCTCAAAAACACACTCAGTCTGTTTTTTTGTCCAAGGTGGTGCTTTTTTCTTCAGAAGGAGATAAAGTGGACTAGTGAAGAGAGAAAGCTTTGGAATAAAAGGGAACATATAATTCACAATTCCTAGAAATTGTTGAATCTATTTTACGGAAGATAAAATGATGATCGTGCAAGAAGAGTAGGACACTGCCATACTAATATTAATAGGACGATCGTGCAAGAAGAGTAAGACAACTGCCATAGCTCAAATTAGTCATTGTAAAATGTTTGACACGTATAAAATGCTTTAGTAACCGTCTCCATAGTAGATTCAGTGATTCCCAGCAACTTCTGTCGGATAAAGAATAGATCCCTAAAGTTCTAAATTAAAGTTCTAAAGTTCTTTTATTTCTTAGTGCTTTAAACTTTTTATCACATTTGTTTGAATTTTTCCTTACTGTATGGATGGATTTTTTTTTCCCCTTATGTTGTGAACATCTCTTCATCATAATTTAAACCACTTTATTATGTAAAATATGTAGAAAGAATACCAAATACTTGAGCAAAATTCATCAGTGTTTAAATATTTCATGAATTTTTCTTTCTGTTTAGATTTCTGGATGTTTTTAAGAATACTGAGAAAATAAAAGAGTTGCCGAGGGGCCCCTGCTATAGCCAAGTGAGATACAAATTCCGTGTACAATATTCTAAGCATTGACTGTACCAGAGCAGCCAGTCAAACCCATAAAGGAACAAATAAAATGTTTGACATGTATGTTTCCAGCAGTACAAGAGCATGTGTAATTATACCCATACCCAAAGCCATAGTTTTCATTCTTAATGTAATATCACATTTATGTTCTTTTGAGAACTTAGTCCAACTAATACACAAAAAAGTCCCCAAAATCTTTTTCCTCTTTCTTTTAATCAACTCAAAAAGACATCTAAAACGGTCCATATGATTTCATATTGTTATGTACACCAGACAACTTGTGGCTATCATCACATTATCACTTTCAGAACCATCACACCTAGAAAAAATTTGACCTTTTCATATATTTATCTATCAACAATTTACAGCCAGCGTTGTGATGACGAACAACGACTTAGTGGAGGATTACCTCTCTCATTGCTCCAAGCACCCATTTCTACAATTCATATACAGATAACAACTATTTAAGATAGATCTGAAATTTTGGCCATTTGAATCACCTCACCATTTCTTCATAATTTTGCAAAGAGTTCACGACACTACCCAGAAATCAACCAAACAACAAATTGATGCTTAGGACTAATAAAAGCAATAAGATAGCATGCCATTCCCTCCAAAACAAGAAAAACCATTAGCCGGTGTATAATGGTAAAGTAAAACATGCATACCTCAGCTTCTATCTCATCATACAGAAAGCGTTGTCTCAAGACAACTAATGCATGTTGTGCAGCATCATTATAAATATCAAATGGAATCAAAACACTCTCTATAAGCCCTCCATCTTCAGTTTCAATTACATAGTCCGCCAGCATCCAGGGAAGAGAACATTCTATTGGAAACTACAACATGAAAAATTATTGGATTAGTCACATGCCATCACCAATAAATAACATCCACAAGCATCACAACTAGTACAGTAGCGAGCTTGATTATTTCTGACATCTCAAGTTTACTAGCAGACAAGGACGAAGGCGATGTAGTTCATCATAAAACATAGCACACTTGTAACAGCAAATTTTCATAGATACCAACAGGCACAAAAGAAAGAAAAACCAAAAAATAAGGTATGCAGCCCAAAAAACAGTCTGCGATATTAAATGGAGTACAAAAACTTCAGACCTGATATCCTTGCCTAGAATTTCAAAAAACTGTTAAGGGAACGAGTTGCAAAGAGTCTTGGAGGTGCTCATGGACCGCACAGAATATAAAAATCTTTTAAGACCTGAGAGTCATAAAATCAGTCACACACAATGCATGAGTCAGGAAAAGGGAGAACACTCCCTACATTTAGCCAATTAATCAAGAAGCAAATTTAGATATTTAGCTCTTTCCCCGAAATATCTTTTGAGCATCGAGTTCTTAGGCAAGTGAGACTAGATATCGAGATGCACGCAAGACAGGAAGAAGAAAGGCGCACAAGACAGGAAGAAGAAAGCAAAAGTGAAGAGAATGAAGAAAGCAAAAGTAAAGAGGATGAAGAAAGGGAAGAAATTGAGCAGTTGAATTCCCAAAGTAGAGTTGACCATAACTTTGGGGTACAATTGAGGGATGAAATTGCATCGCAAACGTGGGTTGCACACCGAAGATGTCGCAATCATTAGTAAATTAATAAATATTGGTGTGCTATAAGTTTGTCTTCACTATCTCCCTCTTTCTCTCTATCTCTATCTCTCTCTCTCTCTCTCTCTCTCTCTCTCTCTCTCTCATCTGTCATTCATTAGACCTTCGTGGTGAACTTTTGATATCATTATGTACTCATCTTTTTTTGTATATTTGTATGGTAGAAATTTGAATTTTTATTGAGGGTATTTCTTAAATTACATAGATGTGAGATTAAATTTCAATATTAACCGTACATTGTAAGAATTCCATTAGATAGGTAGTAGCAAAAAACTTTATTCAAAAATATACATTACTCATACCAAATCATGGAAATACATAATGTACAATTAAAACAGGCAGTTTCGTACTTTCCCAGGATCAACATTATCAAACAAAAGAAAGTAGCAGCACAACAATTCATCAAACAAGGTTCCCAGCTTTCAGGTTACCAATTTTCACTTTCTCCCAGATTCTAAGAAAGTCAGCAGCAAGAGAAAATCCCAGGGAAACTGCATAGAAAGTTACCAAACGCACCCTTTTAGCTTATGTGACCAGTCCTCGCTTTCCAAGTTTCAACATCATTTTATGCCAAGATATTCTACCACACTCTAGTGAGATAAGAAAAATTGAAGTGAAGTTTGTTTCTCTAAGGGTGTGATGCTCATTGAATTGTCATTGCCTACTACACGCATAAGTGTTAGAAGTTATACCTCACAGTCCACCATGCTGCCTTGTGGAGTCTCATGCCTTTGATACTCAATCCGCTCTTTCATTCTCTTTCTTTTACCACTCCAATGGTCCAATCTCTCATAAAGCAACTTTGGGGCCGTAAAGGATGCCATAAAATACTTTCTAGGTATATTCCCGATCTCCTCCAAGTCTTGAAGCTCGGGGCATCCAAATTTGAAGACATGGTTCAGCGGAGGTTGCCCAAGCCTTCCATTGATCCAAAACACTTTAAATAGGTCCAAGAGACTTAAAATTCAGTATCTTAAGATAGGAGTTCATAAGGGTGTGTAATACCTTGCACAATAGGCTCATGGGGTGTGACTTCTTTTGTTCTTCATGTTGACCACCATTCAATTCTAGGACCATAACTTAAAAAATTTGAAAGGTTTCTTGATAGGTCCCCACAGAATCTAGACACTCTAAATCGGACAAGAAACACTCAGTACTTGACACCCGAATGACGATTAACGGGGGTTATTAACTCGTGACTCTGAAAGCTATTTTTCATAATGTATAGCAGAAAATACAGAATAAGCAACATCTGATAAAATGCTTATAACTTCCAAAATATAAGGACATTTTCTCCAAAACTTGATTTTTCTGAAACTAGACCCAATTTTCTAAAAGAAAAAACAAGTCCTCTAAATCCCATAAGGTTTCATAGCACAAAAAGGTCATGTCAAACATCTTACTGTCCCTGGAATTTCAGTACTCAAAACTCGCACCCCTCAAATATTGTCCTATCATCATCATCATCATTTTAGCCTTTTTCCAATTAATTGGGGTCCGCTATATGAATCTTGGTTCTCCATTCCTCTCTATTAAAGGTCATATCCTCCGTGAGGCCATAAGTGCCCATACCTTTTCGGACAACTACCAACCACATCCTTTTGGGCCCACCCCTTGCCCTTTTCAGTCCTTCCACTTGAACTAATTCGCACCTCCTAACAAGTGTTGTACTTGGTTGGCACAACACATGGCCAACCCACCTAAGTCTACTCTCTCTCATTTTATCGCCTATTAGTGTCACACCTAAATTCTCTTAAATAGATTCATTGAGAATTCTATTCCTTCTTGTCTTGTTTTATCCATCTCAACATCCTCGTCTCCGCTACACTCATTCTATCGGTATATTGTTTTTTGCCCGCCCAACATTCCGTCCCATAGGAGCAAAGCTGGCCTCACCTCTATCCTATAAAACTTGCCCTTCAGCCTCATTGGTATGCGACGACTCAAATATTTTCTATACCTCCCAAAATATAAATGGCATGATACCCTGAGACTTTTTCCACATAAAAGTTTACTAAAAAAATACTAAATAGATGTAAGATGGTCCCAAACTAAATACTGTTGGATCATGCGTTATTCACTAATCCAGAAATAGTGACCAGACTGGAGTTTCTGGAAATTTCCGCCAAGCATTGTGCTTAAGATCAACCAAATTGATGTCCCAAGACACCAAAACGACCCTTTCATGAAGTTGACTAAATTGGTGACTGATTCTAAGTGGTTTAAATCAGGTCTGAAACCCACATGCACCACACGAGCCCATTATCATGCGCTATTCAGATGGTGGCTTCAGCGAAGAGTTTCATCAAGCCATGCTTAGAGACTATTTCCACACCTAAACACAATCTAGACCTTGAGTGGGAATATGGGACTCTCTTAAAGTTCGCTCTTATAGCACTTGATGGAAGGTGTAGAGGATGAGTCCAAGGTATAGGAAAACAACTCAGAATTACATCTTGGCTCCACAAATTCCAGGAGCCATAAAAAAATTTCCTAATTACAACTTGGTTAACCAAATTCCAGCAGTATATATGGATGCAAACCACTCAATTCCTCACATACAATTACTCCAAATATTACAAGGACCACTTCATATAGTTCCTAAGACAATTCCTATTCAATATAACTCTAGGGAGATTGAGAACTAAACAATACAATGTGATTTCAAATACAAATTCAAAGCTGTAAAATTTTCTCATGAATAATATACAGGGAACATAAAATTTTCTCATGAATAATATACAGGGAACATACAAAATAAAACTTAATCTCTATTATATATAGACATGATTAAATGTGTGAACATAGCATGGGATGCCGGTTCAAAATGCTTAGGTTACCCTGGCCAGCCCCAAGGATTTAATTATACCCCATGTTATATTCCTCCCAAACAGTGCAAAATTAATGGACCAAATTCAATAACAACGAGAAGCAATATACCAAAGGCTCAAACCACACAGGGCATTTTCATAAAACCGAAGAGGGCTAAAAAAACCACAACCTGTGGGATATAGAGAGCAATTGTTTGTGCTAGGGGTGAGACACCTACATTGCGCATCAATGATGCTCAAAATCAAGGCTAAGGCATGAAATCGATCAAGCAAGTGCATAGGACAATTTTAGCTTGGTGTGGGCTATGAAAATGATTATCAAAAGATGACAGGCACTTTGCTCGTTATTTTCTAAAGGTAAACCATAGTTGTTGGGTTCGGGATAGAGAAGGGTATCTGGATCGGGAGCAAGGATAGAGAAAGGTATCGAAATACATAATTCACTTTATTTTCCTCTTTTCTCACTCTATCTTCTACTTCGAATTTTAAATCCCTATAGCAATGGTTACAATGACTTAGAAAAATCATGAGAATATTAGTAAGTAGTCACACTTCATAGGGAACCAAAGAGAATGAAACAACAAATGTCAAAGCCAAAATAGAGAACTAGGGTAAATACCAAGAACTCAACCAAGTTTCAGTATCCAGCAATATAACACAAGCCATACATAGTTATTCGGTGAGCACACACACAAAAAAAAAACATTATTCAACATGCTTCTCAAATTAAAACTACTGATTTCCTCAACAAAACAAAATTTATTATTTGTTTTTATTGGGTAGATCACACGAGTGGTTAGAACCTATTTACCTATCCTATGCAAACCAGGTGTGCCCCCAATAATACCAAGTTTTTGCATGACAAACAGACAATATTCAACCGACAAAATCGCATGTTTCACCTGGATAACCCGAGAGGACTCCAAATAAAATTCCCGGAACCAGAGAAAACCAAGATCCGTCAATGTTTCAAGTGTAACTGAAAAAATAAGAATGGTATGTCAATGAGCCAAATTTTATTCCAAATGATATAGCAAAACGTTATTAGTACTAAATATGGATCCAATAAAAAAGTCATCAGCTAAATAAAATTGAGACTGGTCCAACAAAACAATGCTTGCGGTATGAATATGTGCACAGTCTCATAAAAGCATACAACCCCTTATGTATATATATATATATATATATAATCCCAAGGTTTTAAAATTAGCCCGACTAAGACAAAGTATATAAAATGCAAATTTAGTAATACTAGGAGTAGAGACGAGGAAGTAGTTAAGGTTAATGGCTAGGAAGTACAAAAAAAACCGCACTTTCGATATCTTCGGTTGATAATCCTGAAAGATGGAGAGATTGAAGAAGAATTACACACAGAATTAGAGCTCGGTGGACGAAGGGAGATGTGCAACTGCAATTCTATGTGATCGCCACATGCCAACAAAGTTGAAGGGCAAGTTCTATAGGACAACTGTGAGACCAACTTTGCTCTATGGGGTAGAATGTTGGGCGAAGAAAAAACAATATATCCATATAATGAGTGTAGCGAAGATGTGGCAAGACAAGAAGGGATAAAATTCGAAATGAATCCATTCGAGAAAATTTAGGTGTGGCACCAATAAACGATAAGATGAGAGAGAGCAGACTTAGGTGGGCTGGACATGAGTGGCGCTGACCCAGTACAGCACCTGCTAGGAGGTGTGAGTTAGTTCAAGTGGAAAGATTGAAAAGGACAAGGGGTTGGCCCAAAAGGACGTGATGGGAAGTTGTCCGAAAAAAAATGGGGACTTATGACCTCACTAAGGGTATGGCCTTTAATAGAGCAGAATGGAGGGCCAGAATTCGTTTAGCCAACCCCAATTAATTGGGAAAAGGCTATGATGATAATAATGATGATGATATATATATATATAGAGAGAGAGACTTATCACTTCACATCATGATCCGAATTAAATTATTTGTGATTATGAATATTCTCCACTATCTGTTGAAAAATAAATTTCCATGAAATCTTGAAAATTTTGAGGTCTTGATCATGGTTAGCACATGCGATATATCTTTTTGACACACCTTTATGGAAGCAAACAATGAAGCCCAAATAAGGTCACATATGCTCATATGGCATTTAACTTTTGTTTCGGTTTTGTTTTAATCTTATTTCATTTTCTGCTGCTCTTTACTCCTGAAATTTTGGAGTTCAATTTTCTACAAAATTTAACCCAATCAACATCCCCACCACCCAGGCACTTGTGCCCTTTTCCCAAATTCTTAAAACAGAAATTGCAAACTTTACTGAACTAAAATTCCTTTGTTTTAAATGGTTCTTATAAATGCGCCAAATTTTCTAAGCACCTGCTCAACTTTTTCCTACCATCTTTCTTTTGAAATTGATTTAATCTCTTTTTTAAACTCTCATTTCTAAAAGAACCATAGGAAAGAAACTTTATTTTGAAGAATTAACTTAGATATTTCCTAATAATCTATTACATATGTTTTCGCAATTATTCTTGTATGACTTTTGTTTTGAAAATCTTTGAATTTTATATCCAAAATTTTGACCGATTCCTTCTTCGTGTATGAAGTTTCAGCAATATGTCTCATGCTCAACTATTGGCTAGTGTTGCATTTGCAAACATACACATCTGTGTGTGTAAAGAGAAATGGATAGCTAAATGGCTTGGTAAGCATACCCATATGCAGGTGGGCAAATATGTGTCCATCATAGACAATGTAACCATAAAGAAATCCAGACATGATAGACTAATAAGAAAACTCATGATGGTTGCATACAGTTAACCACGACCATGAGATTGTGTTTTATGAATTTCATATGATTTTTGGTATTGAGCATGATGGGAACCTTTTCCATATATGTGTGTAATGGAATAAGAGACTATGAAAAAAAATAGCAAGTGGGCTGAGAGTGAGGAGAAGTACACAGTGAGTCTGCATGAAATGTTCCAAGAAATATGGTTTCAATGTAAACCTTGCAAATGGCCTTACAATATGTAGGTCGAGCTGTTAATTAAGAGGCATTGGCTGAAGAAGGGGCTAGCAGAATAGGGCTAGTTGTTACTGACATGTGTGTAAGAAGCAGCCTTATGCACATAGAATTGTTTGTGCGGTGACTCAATTTTGTAGTGAGAATTCACAGTCTCTACATCACTTTTATACTGACATGTGTAAGAAAGCAGTCTTTATGCACATAGGATTGTTTATTCTGTGACTCAATTTTGTAGTGCGTATTCACAGTCTCTACATCACTTTTATAGAAAACATAATGAAAACCTTCTAACTCAACTCCAACACTCATTATTCAATGAAAATCATTTCAGTTAGAACCCATGAATTGCTCTGAGTTCATGAATTACCACCTTAAGGAAGCAGGTAAGCTCCTAAGCCTAAATCTTCATCTAGGCAAAGGCGCCTAGAAAACCCTTTCTATGAGAGAAGGCACAAATTTAAGCTAGAGGTAACGCAACAAGCCATGCAGAAGCTAAATAAATATCAATTAATGTCCTAAGGACCCAATGTCACAACTCCATATAAGTCCAGCACTACCTCATGCACACAATGCAAAACCAACAACGATCAAGTACACCGAACTACATTGCTTGATGCCATGTTTATTTTCAAACAAAAACAATATTAAAAACTAGAAAATATGACACGTATTGCTCAATAGAACTAGGCTACTATTGTGCCTAAACCAAGCATTCTAACCACAAACTGCCAGGCGTCCCAATACTCTAACTTTCCATCTTCTACAGTCAATTCCAATTTTCCATAGGTAACATGCTTGCATAGAACACTTCCAACTTGACCATGGTCAAATAGACCATGTGCAGTGTCGACCTCGAAAAACATGGTTTGGAGGGGCTATTTGGCTCAAGTGTAAGGCTCTCAAAGGATAAGGAGAAGGCCCAAAAGGACATGGATAGAAGTAGTGAGAAGATATATGGCGATGTATGGTCCGTCTGACTGGGAGTATGACCCTTGGTAAAGCAGAATGGCATAACAAAATTCGTGTAGCCGACCCCAAATATATATGATTAGGCTTCGATGATGATGATGATGATTTCTCACAAGAATGCATATTGTTGATTATCCTTAAACTTCCCCACACCCTTCACCCCCTCACTCACCAACACTCCACCTCCCCAAGCAGAAAGTTCGTAATTGAAAGCACCCAACTTTTGTTTTTTATTGTCACATCAAAATATAACTTCAAACTCTCAAATTCTTCCAAAATGATCTTTCTAGACAACTAATTCTAGAAGTAGCCTTTTTACAATTCGCTAAATACTCTCATAAAGTCACTCATTAAGCCCCTTATAAAGCTATAGATCCATGACTTGGGCACAAGGATTTTGATGATCACTTGTTGACAATAGAAGCAAAACATCCCAGATTCAATTCCACTGTTGAGTGCCGACCTACCCAAAGAAAAATATGAACAAAGAAAATGTTTCCATCACAAGAACAACTTATCATGCCCAAAACCATGACATTTTTATATACACTTGAGACTGTTGTTTCATCTCTGTCAAATTATTGATAAACTAAAACTTAAGATATGCAAATCAAAGCAATAATTGGACAAGGTCATCACTTGATCTCCATCAAGAAACCAAACTATTCTCTTCTAAGATGCTCAAAAGTCAAAAATAGTGTCTTAATATGAATGCCAAATGAGAACAGAAGGAACCCAGCTATCAAGACAGATACCAAAAACACAACCATAATTATCAAGATTTAAAGATCTCGAGAGACAGAATACTTCTCTAGCTTACAACGTTATTTTGAAAACACGGAATCAACATAACTCAGAGTAATTGAGAAAAACCTGTATAGTCCAGAATATGGAGGAAAAAGCTGAGCTTGTAAAAAAAGGTCTCCAACTGCTTCAAATCATTAGGCATAACCTCTGAGCCACTGTTTCCAAATACGCCTCCTGATTTTCTCAGATTACCACCAGAAACGAGCTCATAAATTAAAAATTGGAGGCAATGCACCTGCAGAAAACAAACTTCACTGATTTAGGGAACAGTAAATGGACATGCATCCCGTGTTACATAGTATCTCACATCTCTAATTGGACACACAAGACATACTAACATTTCTAAAGACCATACTATATAATAAAGTTCAAACAAACGATCCAAGTTGTGGAACCTGGAAGGTGACCCAGAACAGCACGCCTTCTATATAGGAAGAAACACTTCAAGGAAATCAGTGTACTCACCAATAATATCAAAGCCCTTCAACTAATAGCTACAAATGTATGCATGGAAACACATATTGTTGAAACTAAACTAATTGACCATCACTTTCGGTAAACAATTGCCAAAATCTTAAAATTCGTCAAAATGACAACAAAGTTGAAAAGTATTCAAAACAGATGCACCACAGAGTTTCTTTATGGTCTTTGGTCTAATGAAATTGCTCCCAATTTCAGAAAGGGAAGTTAAGGTTTCAAATCATGGTCTTTCATGAAAACCAGACTACCAATCCAAAAGCAAAATAGGAATCGTAAAAACTACATGAATAATAAGAGAACAGATGGAATTCAAACAAGGTTCTGTATTTAGTAAAAACAACAGCAAAGAAAATAGTTTGCTATAGTGCAATATCTCTGTGATTAATATCATCAAAAATTGTCAACAGGAACAAAATATATTCAGCTCCATGTATTCTATCAGCTTGATCATAGAAACCCTTGATTCAAATTATCTTATTAACAACAAAAGTTTGCTAATTTGTTTTGAAAATCCGAAGAAAAATAACGAATGAATCTGTTTTGATGAAATTGGACAAAACTATACATATTCGTCCCTATACAAAAATAAAAAGTAAAAAATAGTGATTTGAAGCATGGCAGGAACAAGTCAATGGACCAACCACATAGTAATTAAAACCCAAAATACAAAGCGCCAAACCTGGGCAGTAGTTGGTGCCACTGCTCTTGGATGAAAAGTGTTCCCATTGGAACCTTCACCCCCCTGTTGCAAGGATTGAGGTCCAGAGTCCGACTTGCCAGTATTCGCCATCCAATCTGCTGAAAGTGTCCTCATGTCTGACAAAATCCTGGAATGCGACAACTAGCTGTCAAGACTAAGTTAAATAAAAATAATATATTGCAGTAGCATCAATTTGACCATACCCATCTGCATTAAGGTAAATACATGTTTAGCTTGAAACAATCTATGAAAGTGAAATGTAATTCCGCACAAAACATTTGTCTCATAAACCAACAACTTGCATGTCAGAAGGCAACTGGAAGAACACATTAACACCATAAATTCCTAGAATATAAGGAGGCATGCACAAAGGGCAGCCAAGGACCATGGTAATGAATCAGCAGCTGAATTCAAGTACGTAAATCAATCTCATACTCATGCTACTAGAGGTAAAAGAACGAGCTTTTAAATGCGTATAAGGAATATCGAAGTCACTACAAACTGTGGTTAGGACCTCAAACTCAAACTCGGTCAGCTGAATTGCTAAATGTTACTAACAAACATTGGGTAGATTTCAATTTTTGTAAACAGTAAAGAATTCAAATAAGTTTTGGTCAAACTTCAGAAACAGCTTCGGTCATAGTCCAGAGAAATTTAAAAATATTTTTCAAATGTAGAAGAAATTAAATATTTAATAAATAAAAATCTAAGTTTAGGAAAAAAAACTTTAGTGTTTTAATCATGCAACTGGATGCATACTTCCCATTAATTACTTTTATTAATTAAAAAGAGAATAAGACTAATCAGAAAATTTGATAAAATTCGTACCAAATTTTAGGTTTAACTAAAAGAAGAAATGGAGACACAGCTGAAATGCAAACCGCCAACTAGACCAAAATTTTCGAGAGGTCATCCTTTACAAAACTCCTCTAGTTTGGGTCTGAACTCAATTCTCCATAGAAGTTCAAAAAAAATTGAAACCATGAAAGACGCAGGCACCTGGACAAGTCTTTCTTCTTTCGGGATGTTGTTCGCAGCATGGCCGCTAATTTGTTCTGTACAAAATCTTGGACTTCAGCATGAATGGTTTCCCATAGAGCATCTGCCACAACTGTATCATATTGATGCAGCATTGAACCTATGCTCTTTATATAACTCACTACCTCAACCAATGCCTTCCTCTCCTCCACCATATAGTTCCATCGAACGACCTGTAGGAAATTGACAGTCACGTTCTTGGAATCAGAAAAAGGAAAGAAAGTATTAATCCAAAAAACACCTTCAAATAAGATTAAGAATTATTAGATGACTCTTTCAGCATTTTTTCTCTCTTCTCTTTTTTTTTTTTCTGTTTGAAAAAGGTTAACTGTAGATGACTCTTTCAGCATTACAAACCGAAAAATAAAGAAAACGAAGTAACTGCAGCATCATAGTACTCCAGGTGAAGTGTGAAGTCACATTAGCTATACATTCATTAAGTACAAACTACATTGGTGGTGACAATTACCACCATGAATGAAAAGAAAATGTGTGGTCATTTAGTATTAGAATGTGAGATAAGCACAGAGAAAAAAGTTAGAATACTAGATACATGAACAGACTTTTTCATAATCAGAGAAAGCCGCTGAAATTTCACGTGGTTCTTGGGAATCAGCATTTCTGTATGGGTGAGAAAATTTCCATGCACACTGTTCCCATATTCGTCCAGTCCATCTACTGAGAAGTTGAAACCCTTCTACAATTATATCATACAGATTTCCCTTGACCTCCTTGCACCATTCAGAATCGGCACCATCTGTTGACTTCATTAATATAACCTGGATAGCATATATCATTAACAAAGTATACATCTACGATTTGTAAATGAGTTGTGATAGGAGATATAAATAAATAAAATATACATTAAAAAAAATCATTACATGACCTTTGACAGGCAAGACTTAAAGAAAAGCAGCACCAAACAGGTTCTCTGCAAAATTGATCATAGAAAAGCAATAATGGTCATCTAGAGGATCTTTAAAATGTGTCTAGAGAACTGAGTACCTGATTCATGGCTGAGGCAAAACGTATCGCATGATCGTCGTGCTCCAAACGGATAGTTCCAATGTGGTTGATGATTAAATAACGCCTCTGGTAGGTGAGTTAGTCAAGGGCTGACGCACAAATTGCTTCTTTTTTTCTTTGTTTATACTTTATACATGGCACCATCAAGCAAAATTATGACGAAACAAAGTCATTGAAATTGGCAGTATTGCCATGTCAAATTCAATCTCGATACTAACATATCACATGATCCATAAGACAGCAAACATAGTAAAGAACAATGAGGAGCAAAACGCCAGCAAGCTCACATTGTCAGAACATAAAACTATAAATAAGGGAACACTTCATATTTCTTTCCCATGGTTATGTCAAACCATGGTAAACAGAAAACCACACAGAAACCAACAAATAATCAGAAACCGACCAATAAATACAATACCATGATAGCAGAACCCCAAAAAAGCAAAAACAAAAAAAAAACAAAAACAAAAAACGAAAAAAAACAAATTTCACAGTGATAGACAACCCCATCATCCCAAGTTACATCATATTTACTAAGGTGCATGCCATTGCAACAGCCTCCACAGAAATACCGAAGACATCAACCAGAAACAGAATGATGAAAACCTTTACAAAAGCTTTAGAAACTTTCTAAAGAAGTTGGATATCACCTTATAAGCCAATACATAATATCTGCTAGTCACCAACTATTTTACGAAGCTTTCAGAAATCCTCCAATGATCCAAAGGAAATCACATGAGAATGTGAACGTCAACCAAAAGCACAAGCTCAAATGGCCAACACAGTTCTGAATGTTAGTACCAAACAAACATGCAAGGCCTTCAAGTTACACGCAAAGAACCCAGACAGCCAACTTAACAAGATGTTTACCTTCAACCAGCCAATCACAAATTCTCCAGGATAAAAGCAATAAAATGCAAGTCAAACCAAAAAAGAAAGCAATAAATGCATACTCCATAAGAAACAAAGAGAACAACAAACAAATATCCATAAAATAAAAAAAATCAAATAAATGCATATCAATAAAAAAAGAAAAAATATTCAAATCCGTGTTCTACAAATTCTCAAACGGAAACAGATTCTTAAGTCCGCATTGATCAAAAAGAGAGATCCGAAATGCTTTCAAAATCATGTTTAATGTATGAAAGGAAATGATGGGTCTAATGGTGGTCATAAATGTTATGAGACTTTGACCCAACATTTTCTAAAAAAATGAAAGCATGAGAGAGAATGACTTCTCTCTCTCTCTCCCTCCCCCCCCCACCCCGGCCCTAAAAGAAAAACATAAAAAGCAAAGAAAGCAATAAATGTATATCCATATAAAAGGACAGCAAACTAAATGCATATCACTAAAAAAGAAAAAACTATTCAAATCCATGTTCCATACTTTTTCAAAGGGAAAAGAATCCTTAAGTACACATTGATCAAAAAGAGAGTTTTGATGCTTGCAAAAGCATATTTCATGTAGGAAAAGGTAGGTCTAACTCTAGTCACATGGTATGAGATTTGGACCTGACATTTCTCAAAAGTGTGCCCATGAGATAATGATCTCTCTCTCTCTC